AGGCTGTGCGGGCAGTCCTGCCGCAACCACTGCTCTGCAGGTGCTTGGGCTCTTGCAGCCCCCATCCCCGGGGAAGCAGGTGACACTTCCACGTTCACAAGTGAAGGATGATGCTAGTGAATGTTTTTATTTCCTGCCTCTCTCTCTATTATCCAAATTTAGACCACATACATGAACTCCTAGCACAGGAGCTCTTGTCCAGTGGAGACTCCAGGCTTGTCTATTTCCTAAGAATAAAATCTCATTTCTGCAAATCATTGTTTGTCTGAAGGCTGGAAATGTCACTGCCCAGCTGCTGCTGCTTTGCAGGGGAATACTATTTATGTGCAAAAGTGTTGCCTGCACTCTGAGGTACGGCACTGCAAAAACACAGCATGTTTTTATGGGGCTTTGTGATCCTTGCAGAACAGTTAGCCATGCCTTTATTTGCTGGGTGTCCATGCCCTAGCCTGCTTACCTGACACCTCCCTGTATGTTGCCTTAGAAACCTTACCCTGAAGAGACAGCCCTCTCCCCAGAATTTTACAGAACACAGGCATGAGCATGACAGGTTGGCTGTGTGGTCACAGAGCTGTTTTTTGCAGCATTTCTGGCCCTGTGTTGCTAGATCAGATAGCTCAGACCCTCTGGAGAATTCCAAATTCATGCCAATTCCTATTTCATTAGGTCTTCTCCATTGCTGATCCTTTCACCCTACCACCTCCTATGCCCAATTCCTGTAATAGCATTCCTGGAATACAGTTCAGTTTCCTTGACCACATAGTTAAGTACAAATGAGGTGCCTCTGAAACTCCCAGGGGATGCCTGCTTATGTTCCTAACCACACCAACACCTTTTCAAGTCAGGTTTGCTGTCACTCAGACACAAGCCCGAGGCTGAAGCTATTTGAAGTACCTTCAGAACGACCAGATCCATGAACCAGCAGCTGGGCTGCAGACATCCAAGGGGAGAACAGATGGCAACTGATATAGTCCATTTTGTTACACACTAGCATTTAAGAAGTGACTTCTCAGGCACCTGAGGCTTAATCATGCCAAGAGGATGAACGCTCCCAGCTTGAGCAGACATTAAAGGTACTCATTTCCAGTACTGAGCCATTACAAAAGACCCTATAGGAGGTTCTGTGAGGGAAGGACTGGAACCCAAAATGCAAGCAAGATTATTGAGGAAGTCTTTATTTAACACTTACTACGTACTTTCTTAATCTTCTCAGTATCTCTGAAAACATGAGAGTGAAGGCTAGGTCTGAAAAAAGTGACACCCAAACCACCAAAGAGCCGGGGCTGGGATCTTCAATCCACAACAAACATTACCAGAGTTGGGCTGGTGATGCTTCTAGAATATTAAGAATTCCAACATCTTTCTTCCAGCTGCCTTACAACACTTAGTGCCCATGGTCTTCCCCTTCACCCTCCATAGGTGCAGCCAGCACCCCCAGCTCATACCTCCATTCTCCTTACCTCAGTGGTCCATGTGCTAAGCTATTTTCCTAATTCTTATTTTCTCTAGGACTCCAATTGTTTCTTCTGGCCTCCCAAGGGCTTCCGATGGCCTTTAATTTCACCGCAAGATGTTAAGGAACCTTTCCTTATGTTGGTGTTTTTATGCGGGCAGTGAATCAAAGGATGAGTAGAGTCTTGACCTATAACAAAAAGTCAAGAGAGATCAGCCTGAGGCCAGCCCCTACAAAATGAGTCTGCAGATTCTGACTGATATAATGCCTGTCCCCATCACACTGCCTTAAAGGTTATCGTCAAGGATTTTTGGATCCAGGCCATGTTAGTGTTCATAGTCTTCTGACTCATGAGTTGACACATACACTGTAGCAAACGAAAGGATATCTGACTAACTAGGAGAGGACATCTAACCTGTGTGCAGCACTAAGACGTGAAAACAATGAAAAGGAGCTCCAAGTCAGTCTTGGTACAATAGTTTTGGGGATACATAATTAGAGCAAAATGTTCTGTGAACTTTAAGGCTTCAATTACAATTTCTGAAATTCAGGACAAGGAATATTAGAGTTTCCCAGAACCAATTCCCCCCCAAGCAAAATGCCCACTGTTTTCTCATGCAGCTGTTTCAGCCAAACTCTTGCCAAATAAGACTCATTTCTTACCACTTCATGTTTCAGCATCAGTCAAGCTTTACACAGAGATCTGTCCCATAACGTCTCTCCTGCCAAGCACATAAGGTACAAACAAATCCCACTAATTCCAGTGCATAACCTGCAAAATTAGTAAGAGTGGAAGTCATATCTTCAGAATATGACGCTCTGTGGTGAAGCAACATAACTTCAAATGCATACATATTTCTCTGGACTCAACTCAAATGCAGGGTTCTCCATGGTCAGCCTGTCCCTAAGATTTCTCTCCATGTCTTTCAAGACAGCAATCAGGTTTTTTGGGTCTGGCTTTCCCAGGTAGTGTCTACATATAGTTTTTCCACATAAGCCTTTAATTTAATTTTTATAACCCAATGTCCTAGGACTTTTGGAAGGTATTGTTTTTTTCCTTGACCGGCTCTTGTTCCAATCAACTAATTTGTGACATAAATTTGTGATATTGAATTTTCTGTGATTTTTTTTTTTCCTACATAAGGTCAAACTTAATAGAAAAATTGGAAGTGTGCCCAATGAAAATCTGTACAGCAGGTGGGCTTTATCTGTTATATTTTCAGAAAAAAAGTATTGATTGTTGTTGACATTACTTCTCATTCCCATAAGCTACATCTGGATCTTTTTTCCAAAATACAGGAATTAAAACAGCGTGACCCAAAGAGCAGAATATCATTCAAAAAAGGGAAGGATCTCATACACAGCTCTACAGAATAAACAGAATGTTGGCTGTTATGCTCTGGCAAATGTGTAAAGACTGTAATAGGAAACTATATTATTTAATACCTACTATATTGAGGGCTATTGCAAAAAGAAAGAGACTTGTGCCATGCCCTTTTAATCCTTGTTTTAAAATTTTTATTCTTTAGGATAATATTAAAAAAATCTCACAAATTCTAAAGTGAGAAAGGAGACACCAAGCAAGATAAATGTTCTGTCCATTTCTGTTCTCTCAAGAATACCAACTCTTATATTTACTTTTTCTGTTGTTATTCATTGTAGGCTGACTCAGATATGGCTGCTTTCAGCCATGACTGCAGTACAGAGGCGAGGTACTGGAGCTCCCTTTGAAATGGCTAGCAGTGCAGGTACCTGAAGCAGTGTAGCCATGGCAGCACAAAGCTCTGAGCGGCCTAATTACTCTGCCAGGAAATAAATGGATACTGGGAATTCCCTAGGGGGAAAGATGGTTGAATTGTTAACAAAAAGAGTTTTCCCCTGAGGTGTGTTAGTTAAATAGGTGTTAACAACAGCCAAAAACCCTCAAGCTCCAACCTTAGAATAAAAATGCCTTTGTCCTTTGGCACTTCTGATGTCCCAGTCCTTCTAATTCCCCTGTGGTCTGTAGAGACAAAAGAAAGATGTGACTTCAGTATATGATGGAAAACCTAAAATCAAGCAAAACGATTCCCACCCTCAACTAAAAGCTCTGTATAAGATCTCCTTAAAAATACAAAAATAAAAGGCTCTCCTGGCTGGAAACACACAGACCTCTCCTGGTGGCAATGGCTGGGTGGTCATGCTCGAGCATCCTGTCTCCATAGGCATCAAGGTCAGTCCCCCAAGCTCCATGAGGAGCATGTTCAGACCTGGTGTCTGAACCTGGTGCTATTTTTACTATGTCCGTAAAAATAGCAGGATATGTATGTATTCAATGGGGAAGACCAAGAACAAGAAACAAATGAGAGCAAGGTTTAGGGGCAGGGAATTTATCTCTTCTCCCACCAGCCTTTCCTCATACATAAGAGTGGACATGTATAGAGGAAGGTCAAGGGGCAATTTTATCAATATGCTCACCTTCTTACAAGCTCAAAAGGCACACAGCATTTTTCTGAAAATGGAGCCCAAGACTTCACTAAAATTGCACATACAAAATGTTTTACTTTACAAGATAGATCTATTCATTTAGATTTATTACATGAGCGAAATCCATGTTATTTGGCTGTAATTCCCTTTGAGGTCAATGTGAGTTTAACTAGTTTAAGGACTGAGATGTAAAGCCATTTCAGAAAACAGACTGGTTTCTGCAGGTGGAGACCTTGGTGAGTATCGCCTAATCAGAATCTGTAGGTTTGTGCCCAGACTGGCAAAACACTGCTTGCAACAGCCATGTGCTGAAATTGCTCTGTTTTGAGGAGACAGCAAGCCAGAAAATTGTGAGTTCGCCATCTCGTAACAGAGGCCAGTAGGTGGATGGTGTGTAGAGACTAAAAGTTGCAATTTTATCACATTAATTTAAATGTGAAAAAACAACAGCTCACTACTAAAATCCAAGCTGTTTTTCATTTCCAAATGTCCATATGCTATGGCTCAGATATACACAACCCATTTAGACCTAACCAAACTGATTCTACTTTTCTATGCAGGCAAAGAAGCAATCGAGGTGAAAATCCCACAGAGTCACCAGGATGTGATGCCCAATGATGAGCAGTAATTACTGCAGCAACACTTCATCCAGCATGAGTGTCAACGAAATGTCTGCCTTCCCTCTGACTTTAGAGCAAAAAACTGGCTTTGCCTTTGTGGGTATTTTGTGTGTTTTCTTGGGACTTCTAATTATCAGATGCTTCAAAATCCTGCTAGACCCCTACAGTAGTATGCCTTCTTCTACGTGGGAAGATGAAGTTGAGGGGTTGGATAAAGGAACATTTGAATACGCTCTTGCATGAAAACTCACAGAATATCCTGCCTTAAATTTGATGTTGATTTCATTTTGGAAACCAACTGTTGTTACATTTGTTATACATACCTGCATTTTGGAGATATGTTGGTGGCATCCATTTTGTTAAATAAATATTTGTTGCAAACTCAAGAAGCACTTTATGTTGCTATTTTTTGAGGAACAGTGGAATGGTAGATAAGAAATGGTTAGCAACAAAGAAATACTACAATAAACAATTTACTAGAAAGTTATCATGGCCAAAACGTATTTTCCGAATCCAATGATATCTGCCTCTTCAGAGGAGGATCTCATTTCTACTGTGTCTCATGACAGGCTGGAGAGAAAGGTGAAGGACAAAAGACAGGCTTATGAATGCTGAATACATAAGTGGCAACTCCCTCCCCTCCTCATGTGACACAATTTTCTAAAGCTCAGAGACTGTGCTTGCATACTGAAAACACAAAAGTGGAGGACAACAAATGTTTGTGGCTCAGAGGAGGTGCCTGCAAGAGGTCTATGTCCATGTTGCTGAGATGAGAGGAACAAGGGTTGGTCCATGCACTACCAATAATAAGGAACTAATGGAAAAGCTAAAGATCACATCAATTGCCAACTCACCTCTCACCTTCCAAGAAGAGCAGGTGCTGTACTACTGACTGTTTATAAGGAAAGTGTATGTTGCTTCTCCCATGTGACATCTGATGTGGTCCTCTGCAAATAGTGTGTAGATCTATTCCTTCCTGCTCATATAAGAGTATTTTTTGATAGGTTGCCCTTCTCCTACTCTACAGCAAAAGAAAGTCAAACAGGATTAGTGGAAGGGAAACAAACATCATTAAGGAAATTTTTGATTCTACAAACATTCATCAATACAAAATATATTACCTGCTCAGAACTTCAGTCTGAACCAACACCACCACCACAGTCCCAGTCCACCAGTGCATCCCACATCATTAAAAATTTTAGGTGAAAGAGAAAAAGTAGATGTTAAGTAACCAATCTTACAGTCTAGCTGAATTGGTCAAAACACGCCAACTTTTTACCCCACTTGGTTACGGAAGATGATTCAGTTTAAACTGGAACTTAATCTGTGTGGTTGACAGCTCCCAGCAGTAATCACACCAGCTTGGCAAGACCAAAGCAGAGATAGTCATGCTGCATACCCATTTGTACCCAGCCCTGGAAAGGGACATGGGTCCAGAGCTGACTGGAGATCTCTGTATCCTCCAGCCCCTCTCCACAGCTAGTTCTTCTCTTTGTGCTTCTGCAACTGTGCACAGTGTATGATCTGGACTGTCAAACTGAAGAATTGGTCATAGGAGATCCTATCAAGGCAGAAGAACTAAAAGTGAAAGCAGAGTCTCAAATCTGGGTATTCAAGGTCACCTTCATATACACAGCTTTTTAGCAAGTGTGACAGTACTTGACAGAAATTCAATTCAGTTTTTCAGAAGGTTGGTATCAGAATTTTAAACGCTGTCACTTTTGCTAAACAGCTCTGTTTGCAACGAGGAGCAAAGGCAAGGAGATCAGTTACAGCAGCTGGTTTCTTTTGCATGTATTCTGAAAAATGCATATTGTCCCTTTTACCCTATATACTAGGCAGAGGCAGCCAGTGGAACAGCAGACCTCAAGTGCCATTTGGAACATAAAATACTTGATTGTACAGGGAAGGACATTAATCTCCTGTCTGAAGACTGTAAGAGAGGAACAGCCAACACTAATCTACACTGGTCCATTTGAATTATAAAACATAAACAATTTTGTGAATGTCAGAGCTTTTAAACTGCTTCAGATTCTGGACATGAAAAAATGCCAGACCCTCAGAGATTCAGTGTATTCCATTTATCCTAGTTAATTTCACCACAAAAACAAAGGCAGGTATCAGAACACTGATTCATGTGATCTGTTATTGCTGGATAGGATCATCCACTGCAGAGACCTGACACTGCCATTCTTTTTACGTACACCTAATCAGCACAGCTGAGCTCCGTGCTTTCAGGTTAGAGTGCTGAAGGTACTTAAAATTATCTGGGTTAAATATAGTTCAGTTATCTCTAAACTGCACAGCAAACATACCCAAAGAACCCCAATACTATCTCACTACTTTTGACCCAATCTATTGGGTCAAGGCAATTATAAATTCCCTTATGATTGCAAAGCTTCATAATTTCCTGCCCACCCTCCTCTGCTCCCCAAAAGACAAGGGAGTCAGCTTTCGCAGGAAGAATCTGCAGAACATAATTTTTCAAAGGTTTTCCTTAAATATACAGAGTAAAACTATGAATAGGGTTAGGAGCAAATGGTTCAAAAATGCACATAGGACAAGGGGACCCACCTATGACTGATCCCACTGACTTCACCGGAATCTCTTCTGCACTAAATGCGCAGAGCAGAAGCCTGAACTCTTGTTATTTCTGTTACTATATATGCAGAGCTGAAAAATAGAGAGATCATGATCTGTGCACAGAATGAGGCATAGCTGGGAGGGAAATGGAGATAACAAAAGTATTTTCAGGCCCCCTTAGAAATTTTGCAATACCATAAACCCAGTAATTGTAATGGATAGGTACATTTGCTGGTTAATAGTTAACAAGCTAGAATGCCTCTCTAAATCACCATCTAGAAATGTTTTGAAAGAGAGAGATTGGATGGTCTATTCAGTATATTAAGCAGGAGAAAAATCTGGCCAATAAGGCAGAGCCTGTAATGCCTCAAAGAGAGGGACACACTCTATGCATGAATAAAAGAGGCAGATTGTCCTTCCCTAAAAACACACGACTGAATGGTAAGTTAAATTATCCTTAATAAGGTAAAGTTGATTATTTATGAATAATGCTAGAATGCTAAACACAAAATTAATGGCAAATAACAGTTGAGAGACCTCTGGAAATACACAGTGAAAATCAAAGTATTATTTTCAAGAACGGCAGAAAGGTAAGAGACTTTTTTTTTTTCCTAGCAAAATACCAATATTATGGAAATCAGATAGTGAAATTATAGAATAATTTTACTGGGTAGCAAAAGTCTCATTGTCATCAAAGAATCAAGATTGCATTCAGTCATAGAGATGGAAACAAACCTAGTTTCACTGACCTTAATGACAAAAGATTTGGTTTTGCTCCTTCATGCCTGAAGATGAAACACTTCCTTACAATTTTAAAAGGCTGAAGGAAACAGAATACTATCTATGATCAGAAATGTGTAGTAATAATAATGATAATAATATTGATCATCCAAACCCAGGAGAAGTAAGATAAGCTAAATAAATGTAACACGTTGCTGTGAGGCTTACAAAACATTAAGCAGGAAAACCAGCATAAATATGAAGGCATTATAAAACAGTATCATAGCAGAGAGGTGACAGCAGAATATTATCTATAGCCAGTGGAAGAAGTGAGAAAATATGCTTTAGCTATATCTCATACTGAAGATGGAGGACATTTGTTTATCAGCTCTTCAAATTATAATTTTGATATGTGATTTTAGAGAAAATTTACATTGCTGAGGCATAAATATTGATGCAGTATTTTATCTTTCAGTGCCAAAGGGCCAAATGCATTTCACAAAATCATTGAGAAATTTAAATTGGAAAAAATCTCTGGAGGTCATCTAGTCCAACCTCTTTTGAAAGCACAGAATTTTTAAAAATGCCTCTAATGGACTTATTTACCCAGGCCTTCAGTTAATATATTCCTTTACATAGATATATTTTGTTTCTAAAACTTACCACTTTTACATACACTTGAGAGTTTCAATGTCTAAGAATGCTCTGTTTTAGTCAGTTTGAGCAGACCTGGACTCCTACTGAATTATACAGGTCTGTACAATCACACTCCCTTATCTCCTTAGAAGTATGTTTCAAGCTATACGGATAGCTTATTTCAGGGCCATCTAGGCCATCCAGTAAGTTGCTGCAAATGTTCTTAATACACTAAAGGCCTTAAATACAAAAGTACTCCTTTTGTTCTTGGGGTTTTTGTGTGCTTGCTTGGGTTTTTTTTTGAGGGGGTCTGTGTGGGAAAGCGGAGGTGGGAAGCAGATTGTACGGCCAGCATATGTTCACCTCTGTATGGGCTGCCACTCAGAGGGATGGATGGGCCAACAGGAATCTCATGACATTCAACACGGGCAAATGCAAATCCTGTACCTCAGACAGACTAAATCCCTGCACCACACAGGCTAGGGCCTCACTGGCAGAGAGCAATTCTCCTGGAAGGGGCCTGGTGAGCCGCAGGCTACAGAGGCGGCAGCACCATGCCCTGCGAGCAATGAAGGTTAACAATGTCCTGGGCTATGTTAACAGGACCACAGCCTGTAGATCAAGCAAAGTGATCATTCCCCTCTATTCACCACTCATCAGACTGCACCTGGAACCCAGTTTTTGTCTACCTGTCCCCCTGATCTACCCACAAATATGTTGATGAACTTGTGTGTGTCTGATAGAAGGCCACCAAGATGGTCAAGGGTAGGAGCATTTGCCCTATAAGAAAATGGGGCTTGTTTAACCAGAAGAAGAAGAGGCATTAGGGAAACCTATGCAGCCCCCTCCAGTACTTACAAGGAGGTGACTGACAAGGCAGAGCCATGCTCTTTACTGAGGTGCACAGCAGGAGGGTGAGAGATGATGGTCATAGAGTGACACATGGAAGGTTCCAATTAGATATACAGGAAAAAAAACCGCTATGAGGACAATTAAGTTTTAGAATAAGCTGACAAGGCAGGTTATGGAATCTATCCTTGGAGGATGTCAAGACCTGACTGGTGAAAGCCCTAAGTAACCTGATTTACATTCAGTGTTCCCTCTGCTTTGAGTAGAAGATTGGACTTGATAAGCACTCAAGGTTCCTTCCAAACTGTGTGATTCTATGACTTGCTACAATTTCTTTCAAATCATCTTAAAGTGTATTTTGAGTGTACAAATGTAAAATTGAGTGTAAAATTCTATGAACCTTCCAATGCCTATGACTATTGTTAATATTTCTCAGTAATTACTACTTTACCAGA